GGTTTGAACTAGTGATTGGATGATGGTCAATGTTTTGCCAGAGAGCAGCTAAATCATGTCAGGACGGTCAGAAGAGTCAAAGGCAGCCTAAGATTCAAACAAGCAGATTCTTGTGTGAATCCTGGGCAGACAGGGCAATCCAGAGGCAGGATCAAGAGTGATTTTCTGTCAGAGCAGAATTCAGGGGCTGAGGAAAGGACTGCCAACAGCCAGTAACAGCCAGTGATTCCAGCAACCCTTAAAATTGATACCGTACTTATAAAGCTGAGATGCCTGAGCGCCACTCTGATTTCAGCTACAGACACTTCACCTGGAGTCGTCCTCATGGAGATGCCTTTGTTCACAAGAAGAACACTATTTGCTCAGATATGCTTTCTTTGCAGGCAGACATTCCTTGAATAATCTCAAATTTCACCTGATCTCCATGGCTAGGTGGGCATCTTCTAGGTCCTAAGGAGCCTGGTGGGTGGCACCTATTGACTGAAGTGGTATTGATGGCTTCCACCACATTTTAATTAGTTAAAATTAATTATCCAGTTTTAAAAACAAAATTGTCTGAAGATGCACATTGTCAGGTATCCATACCATATTTCAGGTGATCTGACTGCATGTCCCAGGATCTATGTTGGAAGCAGATAGACCGATAGATCTGGACAAGATGAGCAGAATTCTGGGACTTCCAGCCCCAGAAATCATGCAGAATGCCCAAGGCAGAATTCTGGGATTAGGAAAGAAGAAACCAGAAGGCAAGAGCTATGTCTTTCTACCACCATTGTCTGCTTCATTCTATTTGCTTCAACTGGCATAAAGAAGGGAATGCTACTTTGGTCCCACTGCTTCCTAAGAGTTGTCCCAGTGCTCCATAAGAGGGGTAGCCTCATTACCTAGTAGACTTTTATAGAGAGATCCTCTCACTGGACTAGCCTTCCCATAATAAGCCTGTCTACTATATAGCTGTGATGGTGTAACAAAGGTGGATCATCTCAGAAAAGAGCAGTAGCAAGCTTAAGCCATCTGAATTCATCATCAATGTGGTTGAATGCACAGAGATTCAAACCTTAACTTTTAAGAATTACATAACTCACATTATCCCTTGGTCTGGATGGATGAGTCTGTCACTTTCAGTTTCTCCTGCATGTGAATGATTTTAATCTCTCGTTCTTTCAGTCTCCCAAATGAAGACATTTGCAACTACAAATGGCTGTGAAAGTCTTGCCCTGTTTAAATGCGACACGTGTGATAGTCAACGCAAGGTTCTTGGAGGAGATAACAGTTCTGATGTCAACGGCTATGACTTACGTAGGTTTGTTGTAGGTACAGAAACTCCCCAAATGACTGAGATGGTTGCACATGCTGTATGTGTCAAACAGCAAAATGTGGTAAAGTTGCTTTTTTGGACTACAACAGGGATGATACTAGCCAAGGGGGTCTGGGAGTCATGCTCCAGAAGAGTAATATTCCTGATCTGTTCCCTACCATGGAGTTATTAAATGCACTTGTTCTGTGCTATCAAATTAGAGCTGATTTATACCAACCCTAATAGGGCTTTCAAGCTAGGTGAGATATTTAAGGAGTGTTTTTCACCAGTTCCACATCCATGGCTGGACAGCAATTCAAACCCAGGCCTCCTGAATCCGAGTCCATCTCTCCACCCACTACATGACACTGGGTATCTCAGATACTTTGGCAAAGTGTTGATACAAACTAATAGGTATATGACAGTGTTTTCCAACCCAAGGGCGTCACAAAGTGTTTTCTGGGTGGTCGTGGGTGTTGTAGGCCTTGTTAAATAATGTCTTCCTTGACCTTTCAGAGTGGGATATTAAAGTTAGTGCATATGTGTATGTATGAGAAACAAGCCCTTTTTTGTGGGGGAGAGAATCCTCTGTTTTCTCAGAAGATATGACTTTAACCCCATTAAAATTCAATTTTATGCAAATATGGTGGGGGAAGGAGCTGCAGGTTATTTGCCTATTATAAAAGGTTGGGAACTACTGGTATATAAGGGGACTACAGCAATATGAAAGATATTTGTAATATTTCTATGTGCATTGGTGATGCCTGGTATGTTTTTCTTAAGGCAGCAATAAATAATAAACAAACCATATTTCTAAGTCTGGTTCATTCCCGAAGCAATGGCACTAAATTTCCTCCACATCTGGTGCACACAACTGGGATCATCAATTACAGGCAAAAGTACCATCTGCTCACACTTGGTTTTTACACATTTCCAAGACCGTGAAGAAACTGTTCTCACTGGATCAGAAGGGCTTGTCCTACAACAGAAGCAGTTGCCCTAGTCAGAGTGGCCACATAGATGGTGCTTCAAGCATATACCTGCAGATGCAAGGCCAACTTATGGCAAAGAGCAAGAGATTAACCACACTTTCCCACAAGTGAAAATACATAGGCCAAAATCTTGTTGGCAGTTCCCAGCTGAAGTACGTATGACAATACCTCCAATGAGTCTACTGCAGTTGGGAGCTGGCCGGATACCTCACTGAGGCCGCAGTCACACCAGGGAAATTTCCCCCTTCTTTCTTGCATCTTCTGCTTCCTGTCACATGTTGTGGTCACATGGCATATATCCTGTGACAGTGGTTCATACCTTTTTTAAACCATTCTGCTTTGTTTGGGTAAATTAGATGTGGTACATTCGTCTACCACCCCTCAGGTAGGACATATTTCCTTCCTTTTCTTGAACCTTCTCTGCCACCCTTCCCTTAAAAAAATATGTGTGGGTACACCGCTGTGCTAGCAAAATGCCCTTGCTGGCCATGTACTGATCTGGGCCATTTCTTCCTGTTTTTGTGCATCATTACTCTCTATGGAGGAGAACCCACAGGGCACCGCAGTGGCGGTTGAAAGACAGTAGGAGGACTGATGCACCATATTTGACAGGAGTAGACCAATGCACCAACACTCCCATTTGAAAATTAATTTTAAAAGAATAAAGGAGTCAAACACAAGCGGGAGGAGATAGGACTGCATGCTACATATGTGCACAGGAAATGAATTGGTTTTGGAGTACACACTCAATGGGATGTCGATTGTACTGTGCAATGAAACAAATATAGTAGTAGCCTCCCAGTGGAGCTAGCATGGAGGGGGAACAAAAGAATCAACACCTTGTGTTGTCTGAACAAAAAAAGGGGGGATTGACATTGACGAGGAATAACTCGGAAGCACTTTGCTGGTGTGACCCAGCCTGAGTGAGGTATCCAGCTACAGAGCCAGAGATTGGGAGTTCAATTCCCCATGGTGCCTCCTAGGGGAAGAGCTGGCCTGGGTGGCCTTGGGCAAGCTGCACAGTCCCATAACACTCCTAGAAGAAGGGAATGGGAAGCCTGAGTATTCTCTATCTGGAAAACCCTGAAAAGACTTGGAATTGACTTGATGGCACACAGAGACAAACAGACACAGATACAGACACACACAGAGACACACACAAAGAGAGAGAGAGAATAGTTGGAACTAGGTATTCCATTCTTCTCTATCTGGAAAACCCTGAAAAGACTTGGAATTGACTTGATGGCACACACAAACAGACACAGACACAGACACAACACACACACACACACACACACACACAAAGAGAGAGAGAATAGTTGGAACTATGTATTCCATTTAGAAGAGCTGACCTGGGTGGCCTTGGGCAAGCTGCACAGTCCCATAACACTCCCAGAAGAAGGGAATGGGAAGCCTGAGTATTCTCTATCTGGAAAACCCTGAAAAGACTTGGAATTGACTTGATGGCACACACAAACAGACACAGACACAGACACAACACACACACACACACACACACACACAAAGAGAGAGAGAATAGTTGGAACTATGTATTCCATTTACCTCCAGCAAGCCAAGGTACCTGAGACTGAAAATCCCAGCAATACCTCTCCCCGTCTCTGGAAATGAAAAACCCAATAATGAAAACCTACATAAGCACCATTGGCTGCCCTGTTCCCAAATTATGCAGCCTGAGGCGGCTGGCTCACTCTCCCTCTTGAGAGGACAGGCTCTAGGCACATCTTCCCATAGCAGTTCAGAGGGTGGCTTCCTCCCTGATCTCACGGATGTCATTTATTCTAAGGATGGGCATTTTTGAAGATACCATGGAGGGAAGAGAATAGGTTTGTATTGTACACATTAATTTGCTGTAATAAAGTTTTTCCCTTCAGCCCTTGCTGTGAAATAGTTGGTCACTGTGAAAAGTAATTAACGTGGCACATGAAATGAGGATTAGTAGAGAAAGGATGACCTTTTCAGCTTTCAGTAAATCACCCCCACATGAAACATCAAAGCTAGGAACGCTAATCCGTGACTTTGGATACGGAGAGAGTGAGGGTTCTCTTCAAGGGCAGGCATAGACAAAAATCAAACCCCAAAACTTCAAAGGAAATGCTGGGTGCTCAGGGTGGCCAGGCATTTCCCCCCTCATGCTTCAAGATCATCATTCAGATACATGCAACACTTCAATGACTGACTGAGCCAAGCAGTGTATCATAGCTTATCCGAAGATTCACTGATTACAGCTTCCCTTGTAGAAGTGAAGTCGTTCCATAACTTAGGACTCTAGTTTGGAGCAGATCTTTAAAGAAAGTCCAGTAAATTGGGCTAAATTCAGAGGCCAAAACTACATGGGTCTACTCCAACATAACCTTCACTTAGTTCTGAGCGATTTACTCTGAGGGGAAATGTGCATAGGGCTGTAGCTTTTAGCACCTTCACCTTCCTCCCCCCCCTCTCTGAAGCAGAGCTTAAACAGAATTTTACATACTTTTGGTTTGCAAATTCAAAGCTTGTGCAATACAACCAAGTGAAAAATGCCTTTCTCATTTCTCTTCCTCTTTTTGCGGTTTGCCTTATCCTGGATTCATGGATATCCACATGCTAAATCTGAACACATAAACTTTGCATTTTGAGATGTAACTGTTTCCTATAAAATTCACTTCTCAATAAATGTGGAGATGCAGCTCATTTTAATTCATTACCTGAAGCATATGGCGTTTCTTTCTCTTTTTTCCTGTACCCGAACAGAGGCATCTTCTGTTCCTTCTTATTGATTTTTTAATCAGTGTATTAGTTGTGAGTGAAACAGATTGAGCCCAACCAAGCTAAAATTGGGCACTTTCAAGTCTCATTGATTCTAATAGGAGGCAGTTATTCTGGGATCCTGTTGAAATAAAGGAGACACCCAAGTGTGTTAACCATGTGACTGTGAATCATTGTTACTATTGCCAGTATTATTACTGAGGAATTTTTTAAAAGAAAGCATTTTAATTGTAACTGTGTTTTAATATAATCACATCTACAATTATATTTTAATATTTGTAACTAATTCTGTTTTAGGCATGCTATACTGTCTATATATATTTTAACTACCTCACAAACTACTTGGGTTGCCAGCCATGGAAGAAAAGTGGCACACTGAACAAGCAAACAAACTTTGGCAGAAATATGCCTACACATTTCCACCCTGTTCTGCACCTGGACACAACTCTTTCTTTTAAATGATGCATTTCGCCTGAGGGCTTCCTGAAGCAGTAACGTGTATGGATAAAGACACTCTTACGGCTCTTTCTTCCTAAGTTGCCTCAGAAAAAAAAACAATAATAATACTCGTTTGAAAGACATCAAATTGTCAAGGCAAAATGTTTCCTGGCCTGCTCAGATGCCTTTCTTTTTCCTTTCACTGTGGGTATGAAACGAAGCGTGCCATGCAAAAGGTCATCAGTCAGCTTATAGCAGATACAAGAAATAAAAATGCATTTGAGAGAAGGGTGGTATGTTGTCTGTTCCCTTCCTGGATAGTCTGCTGGGGTGACATTTCGATGCAGTCATCACCACGTGTAAGAGGCAATCAAACTTTCTGTCACGGAGCCCTTGAAAATCTAGAATGGCTCTTTGGAAACATCCAGACAATTAGTTGCTCATGAACATTCTGCAGCATATATATATAAATTTGAAGCAACAAGTAACATAGATATTTGTTTATTTCCCAGGTCAACGTGACCAAAGGATACATATCAAAACAAAACAAAAACAATGAGGGGAAAATAACCCTTAAACCTTAACCAAACATTTTTTTTTAAATCACATTTTTAGTTTAAGTTTTTTGGAAAGCCATATACCTCTATTCCTTTTGATCCATGCAGGTTTATGCCGCTTCTAACAATAATGGAAACTTACCCAACTGTAAAGGAGTCAGGAAGAAACCAGGGAAATTCTATTAACAAAGTTCTTTCTGCTCTTCTCTGAGTCCAGCCAGCAGTGGTAACAATCTAAAAAGATACCCTGGATAAAACCAGCCGGACAATTGGGGGATTCCACTTCAAATGGTCGTGAACTCCCAATATTCTCCAAAAGAACATCTCTTGGCTTGCAAGTAAATTGAAAACAGTAGCCCATGAGTAAGCTCAGACCAGTTTTCTCCAAGATCTCAGGATGGAAGGTTGGGCTATAACTATTAGACAGACAGATAAACAGTGCCAACCTCATGTAGAAATGTGGTTCCAGTGCAAACACATCAGCCAAAGTCCAGGCGATAACTTGATACATTGGAAGCTGCAGAAAGGTAAGACTATGAAGTGAGCTGTTACCAACTGCTGGATAGCTCGGTGGTTTAGGCATCTGGCTGCGGAGCTAAAGATTGGGAGTTTGATTCCCCCACTGTGCTGCCTTGACAGGGGCTGGACCCGATGATCCATAGGGGTCCTTTCCAGCTCTGCAGCTCTAATATTATTTTTATTAGCATAGTTACCTGATGCTAGTTAACTTTTTGGGTTATGAGGTGCGCAAATTTATTGTTCAAAAATAATGGACCAAACAGTTAAAAAGTTAAAGGAAAAAGCAAAGCGTGCTGCTAATATACCACCCCATAGCACTTAAAGCACTCTCTGGGTGGTTTACAAGTTAATTATGCAGGCTACACATTCTCCCATCCCCACCGCGGTGAGCTGGGCTCTCATTTTAATGACCTTGGAAAAATGGAAGACTGAATCAACCTCAAACCGGCTACCTGAGGCCTTTAAGGTAAAAATAAGGTTGTATTGTCTTGACTGCAGTACTGCCACAAAGACTCTTTACTTGTTGATGTATTGGATCATGTTTTCTCATTTTTTGCGGCATTTTACAATTATTTTGTGTGTGTTTTATACCATCCTGTTTAGGAATACATCAAGGGAAGCTTTGTTTTGTTCAATTTTTTTAAAAAAATTAAATTCAACATACAATCTTTCATATTTAGAGGAAGATATTTTCAAGGTGCAGTATCATGGAGGCCACTAGGCAGAACCAGCGAATCTTTCCCTACATTTTTCTAGCCTGTTTGGAAGAACAACCCAATGACTGACATCACTGTGCACAATTATAGAACCTGCATAACTTTGGGAGACACATTGCCCCAAATTAAGAAATCACTGTAGATATTATCAGTCACATGCTGAGCCACACAACATAATATGCGACCAATTGTATCTACAATGATACTTTCCGTTCAGCTCATTCATCTGCTACTACCTTTGATCATGGTCCCACCTGAATAGCAGGAACTATTTTCTGTGGGCAAACCCCTATTGGCAACACAAGAACAAGCTGACAACTTCTGGATTGGCAAGGCTACAGACAGTATTCTAGGTTCATTGAGATGTACTGGATCCATTGTTCACATAAGATATGCTCATACAGATACATACTTTGCTTTGGGAGTGTTCAGATGGGGAAATACAGCAGCTTGCATTTTGAACCACTGGTGTGACCGATTTCCCAGGAAATCACTGCCCCTTGTTGGTCCAGCAGCAGGCCTCTTCTTTCTTGGGACTGGGCCAGAGTGATTCCTGTTGTGACAGAAGGGTGGCTGTAAGGGCGATAGCCGCAAGCGAAGCGAACCCTTTTCAGTGCAACCAGACACAATCTTTTCTTGCCATCTGATCTTACCTTTACAATGCAAAGTGATTAACAATTTCGGGTTCACACTTAACTAAGCTGAAGACCCATTTATGTCTGTGCTGGACTTCAGTCCTCAGACAGGACAGGCTTGAGGAAGTTGTCGTCGTTCAGAGCTGAGGCTAACAGGACACCGTGTCTCGCAATACTGTAGAAATTTAAGCAGATAATCATGGTTAACAGCCTTAGACCAAATTTGCCATGCTGGTTTGCTTGAAAAAGTGCTCCGCTCTGGGACGGCGTAAGCATCAGTAAAGATGGATCCCAGGAGATCACAACTGTTTACTAAATTGTATAAATGAAATGCTAATGAAGTGTACAGCCAAGAGACAGCATGCCTCAGGATTTAGAAAAATGTCATTTGAATGTATGATCTCTCTTAAGGCTTCATAGGGACCGGTGCAGCATCTCACCCCAGGGACCAATTCTGTGCTTCGGAATGTTATCCTGTGACCTTTGGCGGCTTTACCAGTGTGATGGCGAAATGGGTTTTGTGCTAATTGAGAAGACAGATTATTAGTAAAGTCTGCAGCTTAAAAAACAAAAACAAACCATCAAGGATGCTTCTTCTTAGCAAGGAAGGTGTTTAACTAGGGAAAAACCTTGCTCCTGAGATTGCATGCTAGATGCTAGCACATGTAAACAAACAGATAATTGGCAGATGGCAAGATATTCTTAGATGCTCAAAAGCTTATTACATGCTTTTCAAAAAAACCTCTGCATGATCAGCTTGTAGTACATAAAAGCAGCACTTTAAGAAATCTTTTTTCCCGATGGGCAGGTAAGGATTACATCATTAGCATTTTGTATATCCTCACTTCCTTTATTGTTTCCTATCTTGACTCTTCACTTATACATTACTTTAAATGTAGTAGCTATAGAACTTAGTTTGTGGAATTCCTGTTTAAAGTGACTTGGACCTGCACATTTTGGAACAGGAAGAAGGAATGGGTGTCCCTACAGAAGTGGATTTGATATTCTCAACATCTCTCACCATTGGCTATGCTCTGTGGGGAAGATGAGAGATGTAGTCCTTTCGAACTCTATTTTCCCCAGCCCTGCCTTACAGAAGTGCATTGGTCAGAATGTTGGATCACTTGTTTGCATGGGATCCTATTCGCATGGAACTTTGCTACAGTATATGCAGGCCATCCCAGGGATTTCTGTGAAGAGGCAGATTCATGAATGCACAGGCAAGACAGTTTTCTCCTTTTCAGTATGCATGGGAATTTCTTAAGTTTGGTGATAAGCTAGGTAAGAGTAAATTCATTCAGACAAATTAAATATGTGAAGCATTACATCTCACTCAGTCATCTTCCTCAGGCCCAGTAAAACATTATGCTGAAAGTTGTAAAGTTCCCATCTTGAACCGTTCGCATTTTAAAAGTTACACAGTTTTAGATCTTGGATTGGAATATCAAACCATGGAAGGCAGGGAGCTCATCAGTTTTCCCATTTGAACTATTCCACACCTTCTGGGAAGTTAATCTGGATGACATTTTGTATCCTGTTCTAATAGGAGGAAATGTTGGCTATAGGTCCTTAGCTTTCTGCATAGTTTTTCATGTCCATTCAAGTCTCACCAGCTGGCTGGATAGCTTAGGGGGATAGGCATCTCCCTGAAGAGCCAGAGGCTGGGAGTTTGATTCCTCGCAGTGCCTCTTGTGAGGACAGCCAGCCTGTGTAGCCTTGGGGGCAAGCTGGATGCCCCCAGAAGAAGGGAAGGGTTAGCCACTTCTGAGTCACTGGTGTGATGGCACACAATTTTCATTATCAATGTCTTACCATTTCACCCATTGCTGTTCTGACTAGGTTGCTCATTTTGAAAAGTTGTGCTCTGAGTCCTGCTCTTAAATATTCTGAGTGATTTATTTAATGTTTTCTCTTTTAATGCTCAAATGTCAATGTAATTTAATTTTAATCAAATTAATCTCTTTTGTACACTATTTTGAGGTATTGTTTAGCTTTTAAAAATTGGTATGTAAATACGAAGAAGCAAGAGGAGAATTACAGAAAGAAATGGTTTTAGCAAGTGACTCGTGTACACTATTTTGAGGTATTGTTTAGCTTCTAAAATTGGTATGTAAATACGAAGGAGCAAGAGGAGAATTACAGAAAGAGATGGTTCTAGCAAGTGACTCACAGTTTAAAGATGCCGTGAAGAATCACTGAAAGATTTAATGCTGGCCAGGCTTGTCTAAAACTTGCCTTTTTGAAGTCTGTTCTTAAAGTACAGCCACAGACTTAGAAGACAGTCTTCAAAATACAAACTGGCACAAGGGATAAAAATAGAAAGAAGAGAAAGAAAACTCAGCCAGCCTGCTGACAACAAGATGGTGGTTTGAGAAGCGGATGCCTGTTTTGAGGTATGATTTTACATGGTCCCATGTTTTAACACTAGTGATCAGGAAGGCTATTTGAAATGTCTGTCACAGCACAAAGGAAATAAAGTCATAGTGTTCACACACATTGACAGTAGGGGCCGACTCGCCCAGGCTTTGCAGGAAAAAAACCCCAGTACTTTCATCCTATCTGGGCTGCAGAGATTGGCGCAGATGCCTATGACAAGATGCAATTGTCAGGATGGGGGATTCAAGACAGCTGGCTCAGATCCAGTTTGTTTGCGCGCGCCCCCTTGGATCAGGAACAACGCTGCACTTTAGCCACTCAAGGCACAGCTGCCAAACTGGAGGATCAGAACACCGTCCAGTCCACTCAAAGCAGTAATGAAGAATAACCTCAATGCCAATTTACATGCTAATTGTGCCTCTAACACCTTTGCTTAACAAAGCTACAGCACTTTAATTATAAAAGAAAAGTGGGCACAGAACATACAATCTACCTAAAGGTGTTTTATAAAAGTGTCTACAGGGACACATAGTGGCCAAGGGCCATCTTCAGTGAGAAACAGGAAAGGTCTCCCAGTCTGGAGCAGACGTCCAAGTAACTAGTTCTCCTTGAAAATATAAACACCAGCATGAGTATTTGTTTAAGGAATGTGCTTGTTGTGGTTGAAAGCCTAATACCTAGTAAAGAATACCTAGAGTAGTCCATTGAATCAACAGAACTTTCAAAGAAGTTCACTTACCAAATCACCACTGATTCAACAGGCCTACCTAGTTGTGACTTTTTGTTGAGAATAACAATCTTGCATGCAGTAGCACTGGGTGTCAGTGAGAGGAGCTCTTCACAACTTAAGATGGTTGTCCTCTGCCACTAACCTATTGCTAAAGGTTTTTTTTTTCCTACTTGAGGCAAGCCCTGGTTGTCCTCTGCCACTAACCTATTGCTAATTTTTTTTTCCCTACTTGAGGCAAGCCCCCCCTTCCTGTTTGTTTGGTTCACTTCTTTTGTTAGTCTCTCTGTCCTTTCCTGACCGCTGAGCATGTAGCAGACATGGAGAATGTCTCTTCCATGTGTGGAGGCTCAATTTTTCCTACTGACTGTAACTACAGACAGCACTGTAAGAAAAAAAAATTCTATCTCAAATGCTTCCAGAGTGATTTTTAACATATAAACTATGAAAAGGGGAGGGCTATTGAAATTTATGCAAGTTCCTCACACTTTCCCTGTGCAGTTGTTGTTTGTATCTGATACTCTGCTAAGTTTAAAAGGAATTTACCGTATTCAATACTTATTACACTGAGCAACAGGATTTCAGCCAGTGTTTCATTTTACCCTTACTAGGTCCAATCCTGCCAAAAGTAATTACTTTTAAGTTCCATTCACACTACTGGAAAGTTTCTGGCCCATGCTTAGCTCTTCTCTTGAAGACCCACAGGTCTAGCTTTGGCTAGGCGCTAGGGAATAATATGCTTGCAGCTTGATTCTACAAATGTTTACCGAAAAGGAAGTCTCACGGTGTTCCATGAGACGTGCTTCACACAAAGGTTGGCCCTACCATTGGACAGAGTGAGACAACTGTTTCAGACAGCAGATGCTGAGGAGTGGAAGCACAGTGTAGGAAGGCAGAACTGTGTGCATCCTGCTGCCCATCTATGGCCTTCAGCTGCAAAGGAAGGCACTGTTCCACAACCCTGATGCATTCCTCAGCTTGACCGGAGAAGTCCAGCTGGCTTCGTGCATGGAATTGGGGAGGAGGCTCCTGGTCTCCAGCAACAGAAGGGTTTCATCTGGTCCTCCTGTCTCATTGCTACTGTTGGCTGTTGTGGGTTTTTCGGGCTCTTTGGCCGTGTTCTGAAGGCTGTTCTTCCTAATGTTCCGCCAGACTCGGTGGCCGGCATCTTCAGTGGACAGCACTCTGTGCTCTGGTGTAGTTGGCTTGGGAGTGCCAACTACACCAGAACATCATGTTCACACAATGCTGTCTTTAGCATTGTGTGAACATAAATCCTATGCTCATCCAGGGGTTCCTCCCCATGATTTTCAGGGAGAAGTACTTCAAAGGCAACATGCGCAGGTATGCTCCCATAGCTGAAATGAAAGGGAAAGACTTATATTGTCCCAGGACCTCAGAGTTGGGCAGAGTGATGTGCTTTGAAGGAAAACAGGCAAACACTGACCTCTTCGTTGTGAATATTTTGCCCCACTGCATAAAGTTGTCATAGAAATAGAGTGGTAATTGCACCCTGAAGACGTGTGTTTCCCAGCGACAAGGTATTAGGGAGAGGGAATGCAAAGCCATTTTTTTTAAGGTCCTTCTGATGCTGTTTATAGATCTCTCTGTGACAGCATGATTGGGATGCATTGCCTTTGCTGCTTTGAAGTGTTAATGTCACCCTCTTTCATTTATGCCATTAAAAATAAATGTTGTGGAAGGTTAAAACCTTTTGTGATATTTGACGGGGGGTGGAATTATTTTGCTGTGGAACAAGTGTTTCTGAAATTACTCAAAGCTTAATTTTGCATGTTTCGTCATCATGATAAAACGATTTGAATTTTATCAAGCAGAGAAAATCATGTTCAGAAAAGGGAACATAAACCAATGCCAAATGTATATATATATATATTATTTTTATTTTCCAACAGCAGGTTTTAAAACAAAGATATATAGCACAATGTGCATTTGACCAGTAAACATAAAGTGTAAGAACCTCTAATCGTCAAACAATAAACAAAGATAATCTAAATGCAAA